CATTTGAAACCTTCATTAAATAACACCATCAAGGTCAATATTAGTCCCACTTCCCCGAGCCAATATTTACCATCGTCTCAAAGTCCACCTGCTCGTACACCAGAGCTTTGGCAATCTGTGCTGCCTGCTGGAAATGGACGTTGTCTGCAAGTAAGACAGTGCTGTTACTACGTGACCCAACATCAAAGCTCAAGTTTACATCAAGGCAAATAGAGTCTGTTTGTTCACGGCATCACTACCTGCTACACTGATGAGGAATAGGGCTGGAAAAGAGTGTTTGAATGAAATGGTTGAACGTACCATCGGCTGTGCCATGAACCAACAGATAGTTAACATTTTTGAAGTTCCTTGCTCTTGCTGTCACTGTGGAGTTCTGTTGAAACAAAAGAGAGTTATTAACATGTATCAAGTCAGAAATTTGCTGTAGTTTGAAAAGATTCATGCACTTGAGCTTGTATGATATTTACTGTGTAAGCGTCTGAATTCTCTGTAGGTTTGCCCATGTAGCGTTCAGTGTACACCGCATCTGCAAAAGAAAACCAATACCACAAATTCACAGTGCATACTTTACAAGAGTAAAATATATCATACTTATTACAAATAAAAAACGATTTCAGAGAAATTGAATGGAGATTTGAATTTTTAAGAACGAACTCCATTGACTAAGGATGCTAACCTCTAGCAAAGATGATTGAATCTCTGACTGAACTGTTGGACACAGTTGCACTGTGGGTAATGTAGTTACCAAGCTGTTTGCTATTATTCTGACCATGTCACAAGGTCACTGATATAATTGCTTTAACAAACAAGTCTGATAGCAGCGATCGTAGCGTCATTGTCCACTACTTGCTTGCCACCTCTGTGTGTACCTGGAGAAGTTTCATCATGAGCTTCCTGTTTTACACAAATTGTAAATAGTTTATTGACTGTATTTCTGTAGTGACTTTTCCAGTCATATCGACTGCTTAAAAACACAGGTTTACAGCTGTTAGAGACAATATTAGGGTATTCAGTATCTTGGCCTAGGACACTTCAGAATGGGCAAAGCATCCTCTCTGCCTCCTGAGCCACAGCCGACAAAGCAAATAGAAACTATGGTGAGTCTAGAGAAGGTTCCAACATCAGTGATCATGGCAGAGAAAGATAAAGGTGACATAAAAATGTGCAGGTCTTTCTCCAGAACCAGTTTGTCCTGTCTGGGCTACTGCAGAAATGTGGTGGTGCAGAAGAAGGAGAAAATTGCTGATTGTTTCTGGTGATTATATGTAAATGAAAACATAACTAGGATTAATACATTCTGTTACTACCAACAGATCCTCAGTATACACACTGGGCTGTTTACACACGATGGTAAATTATATTAAAGAAGGACTCCATCCATCCACTATAGTATGTAAACTCACCATAATAATCCCACTTGGCAACTGGAGCAACTGCGATTCCGCACTTGAAGAGTCCAGTTCCAGCACCCAAGGCCATTGAGGTAACATAACCACCGTATGACTGATCAGAATTAAGGATATTCAGTCAATTCAAATAAAACATGAAATACAAAGATAAGCACATGAGAAATACAGAGAACTTACCCAGCCCCATATTGCTATTCTGTCTTTATCGATGAAACCCATGTCAATGAATTTCCTATAACATAGAAATTAAGAATTACAACATATTTGGACGTCCACTGATTCAGACATTTACCTTTATTTTAATCTGTATAAATTGTGCATGTGAAGTCACAGTGTTTTTTTTTTTTTTTTTTTTACCTCACAGCAGTTATCTGATCTTCTACTTCAAACGTCCCAAGGCGCTTGTAGATTGCGTGCATTATTTCGTCACCTTGGTAACCACTTCCCCTTCCATCGAAGCTGGCGATTATGATCCCGTGTGAGCTGGAGAGGTACGTGCCCCAGTTCAGCTTGAACCGGTAGCTCACACTCTGACTGCAGGGGCCACCGTACCTGCACGGGGACAGCGGCAGCACATTAAGAGATGTTCACTGAATTTTTCATAGAATTAGCGCAGAGGGGATTTGATCACTTACACATCAATAAGAAGAGGGTATTTTTTCGATTTCTTAAAATTTGGCGGCAACATCATTTGATACCAAAGATCTGTTGGCAAGCAAAAAATAAAAGAGAGACATTTATGTTTAAACTACAAAGGTGTCATTAGAAAACACAATGATGTCTACCCATACAATTAAGTTTCCAATAATTACACATTTTTCTGTTCCCTGAAGTCATTACTTCAACCCTAATCCACCAATTACATTACATGCTTGAAAAATCTAGAGGAAGGATGGGACCTCTTAGATATAAAAAGTAAAATTAAATGTAAAACCTCATTTGGAACTTTCTATATGATAAAATGTTAATTAAATGTCCATTAAAATCTAACTTATGTTTTACTTTACGTTGATGTTTGACCGTCACGGTGCAGACGATATATGTGCATATATGAGTTGGATCCTAAAAGCTGTTTTCTGTTTGTCAAATAATCTACTGACACAAGTGTGATTGACACCTCCTGTGCACATACCCTGAAAAAACCCTTGAAGTGGGAAACGTCTTGTGTCCAACAATTAAGTTTTGAGTTAAAAAATACTTGTATATTGGTATGTATAGATAGGCTTCTAAGACGTTTTAGCAAAATATGTATATGTCTTCAAACATTTCTGAGGGGAACCTTCAAGCTTGTGTTGTCTCACCAAATCCTGCAACCTTCATTGTGCCGTAATGCATCGTTGGTATGTGGAATTCAGACAGAATATTTCCCAAATCCTTGTTGTCTTCAAGGATGGAGATCTCTGTAAAAAAAAAGAAAATAGAGAATAACCACTACTCATATGCAGATGTGCATGTGCAATCATCTCCTGTGATGTCAGCCTTTAAGACAGAAAACCTATTTAACTGCAGTGAGACCTTCCTTTTCATTCTTTAATTCATTTCTTTTTCAATCCTAGTAAATAAATCAACCACTGTCCTGGGGTGACTTAATGAAACTTGGAAAATGGTGTATGTTCACATACGTGCACCTGGGCCCCTGTTGTCCATGAGCGTGTAGAGGGGCAATCCAGGTCCTGGCAAGAACAAAAATAGAACACGTACGAATAGTTGATTACACATCAGGTCTTTTGTATGATTCAGACATGACTATTTTAGCTCAGATTATGGTTCACTGATGCTGCGCACCACAGATGAATTCCTGCACGTTAACCATAGATGAATCATTGCTTAAGAGAAGGTGGTGGGAGTAACTGACCGTAGCAGTCCATTCGGTAGAAAGAGGCGTTCAAGCTGAAGTAAGCCGAGTTGTACTGACATCTGTCCTTGTGCAGGTCGCAGGTGAGGCACTGAGGGGCAGAGGAGCTGCTTCCAATCAGAAGTCTGATGAACAAACAAGCAGCAGCACGTGACGGTCACATCATTCAGTTCATATTAATGCTGTAATATTATATATTTACTATTGTTAATTCATCCCAATAATACTTACAATTAAAATAATGAGAAAAAATTAACATGAAGAGTGCAAGATGAGGCAGAAAATAAGATTATAACATAATAATAAAACAAATGAGATCAGTCACACAGATAAAAAGATTTGCTTACTTGTAAAGATTCCTCTTCACGGGTATTCCTTGGTACTCATTGCTGACAAAATATCTGTGGAAAAGAGTTTTAATGAGATTTTGAATGTATTTTTCTGCCATATATGCTTTAAGGTTAATGTAGTTTCCTCAGAGACGTATGGTGTCATCACTCACATGGCGTCCCTTGTTAATTTGGATATGTAGATGACTTCCCACTTCCCAGAGGTGATAGGTGTCGCTTTGCCCTTAACGACACAAACCCCACAGTGAACGTGATGCTCACATCAAAAATACACGTGACTTTTTGCAAAGTTGAAAAGACTTACATCTTTGACATAATGAATGTGCTTGTATCCCTGAGTGTCGCTCATCACTTTGTAGAAACTGAGTTTATCCTCAGCAAAGAAAAGAGGTAAAGGCACATACTGTGAAAAAAAGGAAATATTTTATGGTTATGCATAAAATCAAATGCTGAGAATCAATAGATGGTGATAACCTCTTTGAAACTCACATGGCCGACCCAGCCTGTTTTGCTTGTTTGCTCAAATTTCTGAAGAGAGCAGAGATGACATTATATTCTATTAATTGGCATTTACTTGCATGAGCATTTAATCCTTGAGATCACCTAAATGGAGAAAGCGAACCAGAGGAATAACAAATACCTGCATTTCTCTCCAGCTGCTTCCGTCAAAGTCATAGATCTGCACGACCACATAATTCTGCTTCCTCGTGAGCCACTGCACCGCGATGCGTTCGTCTGTAACCCAGGTCACTGAGCACAAAATGTGATCACTGAGTAAAAGGCAACAGAAAGTGACAGGGCTATCACATAAAGGCAGACCGTGAAGATATTGTATTTGCCTCATGCTTTGAAACACGTGGAGTTATTTAAGTCATGCTACAAACTGGAGAATCTACAGACCCTGAAGACACGGAGGCGGGAGCCTGCACCTGTATGTGGCGGGTTGGAACCGAGGTATCAACCACAAACAGTTTCACCTTGGTAAGGTTCGATCCAGCCTTCACAAGATACAAAATATTACACATTCGTAATGAATACTCACATAGTATGAAAGTGTGGAAGATGAATTGTGGGGAGGACAACGTCAACAGCAGACTCATTAGAATTTGTGCTTTAAACTGTAAATAAACTGTGATTTTCAGTGTAAACTATTACTTGTGATCTTTTAATTATTATGTTGAAAGTTATCACACCTTAGGGTACGGAACAGCCATGGTTTGAGGATATTGCTCAGATCCATACCAGGAGAACTCCACTTTGTGAACATCTGTATCATTTAGCTCCAGATAAGCAAAGAACTTTCCAGTTGATGACCACCAAATTGCCCCATTTGATGCAAACACTTCCTCTGAGGACAAAACACAACTCAATAATCATCTGACACACACATGCCACATGCACACCTCTGAAATAGCTCATGTCACTCACCCTCATACACCCAGTCAGGGATGCCATTGAGGATCTCATCCTTTTTACCATTGTGCGTCACTTGGACGGCTTCAGCAGTGGGATGAGATTTGAAAAAAATGTTGAAGTCTGAGACGTAAACCTGTGAAAAACAACTTTTGATTTTTAATTTGAAAGTTTTTATGATTTTATCTACAAATATATTCCAAACCAAACTGAAACAAAAGCAATTACCTAACCTTTAAATACAAACTTAAGACATGGCTTGAAGATAACCAATCTTCAAGTGTCATTATTCCACATCATTTTAACTGGATGTGAAGAAGAGGGTACATGGTTTAAACTCACATATTGGTGTCCTGCTGGGGCCCAGACAAAGTACTGCACCTCAGTTGGAAGATTCGCAGGCGTAACAAATGTCCTGCAATGACACAAGGAAATGATCTAAGGTCATGATCACTGCCTATCATTGTGGTGTGTCTGTTGATTTAACGTTAGGGAAGAATTAAACGTTATCATTGTTGAAACAAAAAATCACATTTTCTTGAATTCTGCTTTTTTTCTGTCAAATTGAAACATGGCAACTTACGAACTCTCCCTGTCATAGATGGAGTATGAGGCCGTAAATGAATGTCTCCATTTCTGTAGGATATTAAACACAAATCTTTTCAGACTTTAATAACGTTTCCAATTATTATATTTACATTTACAGTGGACAACAAGAAAAGTTACACTTTTGAACAAGCAGATAAAAGGCCATCTCTTAACCAAAGAGGTTTCTGACCTCTGTGAAATTGCTTTCAAAAGCGACGTATTTATCATCACCAGACAGAATGTAATTCGTGGCAGCCACTTGGTCCTAAAATGAAAACGATAGTGGACATATTAGTATTAAACTATAATTCAGCATTGATAAAACAGTGTTTATTATTAAGAAAGTAATTAACGTTATTACAAAGGTTGAATTGCTCAAAAATATTGACTCCTCATTAGTTTCAGCGTTGTGGCGAAAGACATTCCCGTCACTCGCTTTATGCAGATATTCTTTATCTGCACATACAAAAAGGACAACAAATATGCATGTAAGAGATTTGTACACTTCATAAGGATTCACATTATGTGTATTACTTGTATATTAGAGTAGTAATGACTGGTGTTGATACCTGATATCCAAAATAAACCATAGGATCTCCACCTTATAGTGTCATTGAAGTAATCCTCAAAGGAGTACGCCCTTTTGATGACACCAGACTCTGAAATTATACGTAAGCTGCTTTAATTTAATGTAGGACCAGCGAAATGTGAGAGACTTGACTGTTAAACCGTTTTGCAGTGAAATCTCAAATGAAAAAATTCCTCTGTCACACGGTGGCGCTGTTTGTACTGCAACTCCGAGCAGCCATGCTTTGCCATTGATAATAGACACAAAGCATGATATGGTGGTCTGTCACTTGAGGAAAGCCCAAACAAATAACTAAAAATATCGGCAACATATTCAAATAACAACAAAAAATAAATAAAACTTTCACATGTATTATCCATGTGCAAGAATAGTTTTATAAGTCAGCTTAAGAATTACATAACATAATGTGTTTTTTTTGGGGGGGGGGGTTACTGTCACACACGCACACAGATAGAAGGAGAGGCCTGAACTTGAACTTACTGCTGAAATAAACTGATGGGATTGTGATCAACGTGATGATGACAGCTGCCCCCAACACCGCCAACAGCACCTTGTTACAGCCCTGAGAGGCGACACACACACACACACACACACATTGAAATTGGAAAATCAACACAAGGTTTTGTGTGCATCTATTTATCCTTAAGAAAAGTGACTTCATCACTGTCTGTTGCTCACAAACTGATTTTCCACCAGTGAAGCGCACAGTAAAGTAATAGATTACTGACCATGGTGCAGATGCAGTGAAGATCTCTCTCTGCTCAACAATCCTCAGAGGTTGGTCCTGGCGTGTGAGTTTAACGAGACTTTAACTAAATACATCTACAGACATTACGCTCTTACTGAAAACAGCCAGAGCGAGTGAGTTTGTTGCAAATGTGGCAACATGAGAAAACTGAGCCTCTTCCTTATTCTCCGTCTTCCTCCCTACATTCCTGAGCGCAGCCTGCACAGGCGGACAGAGATGAGTCCCTGAAGTCTGAGGCGCTGCAAACTTTCCAGGAGCGCACAAACTTGCTGCTATTTAGGAAGTGGCTCTTGGAGCGAGGGCGCAACAAGTCATCCACTCCACAGATGTGAGCTCACAGCAAAGCTGGGGATATCTTCTACATCAGCTGTTGAATTAAGTTCAATTCAATTGTAGTTTTTTACCCCCTGAGCCGATTAAGATGGGAAGGGTTTTATTATGTTATGGAGTTATTGTTAATGATATAAAAGCAATAGAAAAAAGACATCTAGGGTCCAGTTATTTACTTATTAGCTGGTGCTGCTATATTGTAATATCATTATATCTATACATTTCACTGATAACAATTAGTCTGACAGATCTGTCTCCTGGTCTCTGGTTCTGCTGGTTTCTTCCCATTTAAAGTTTTATTTTAATCCAACTCTATGTTTGCTCGTTGTGGGAACTGTTGAGTTTCTCTATAATATTGTATGGGGCTGACCTTACTATGTAAATAATAATAACTTTCTTTGTATAGCACTTATCTAAACAAGGTTACAACGTGCTTCACAAAAGTGCCTTGGGATAATGTATTATGATTTGGTGCTACACAAATAAAACTGAGTTGAATTTGTATGTGTACCACTTATCTATACTACGGGGGAAAGAATACTTCTATAAATAGCTGTGACTGGCTCAGTAGTTATGACTCACAAACCGTCAGATTTCATAGAAACTCATCAGCATCTGTTTGTCTGCATGTGTGATGACAGGTGGGCTCTGAGGGGCTTTCATTGGCTCCCATCTCATGAGACTTCAGGGCTTTGAGAGGAAATTTATTTATTTTCCCAGTTCATTTTACACCAGTCATGCACACAAAGATCTTAACAGCATTTCACCTTTAAATTCAGCCTATTAGTACATGTACATGTACAGTGCATAAGTAAAATTGATTTGAGGAATTACCCAACACAATGTTAAAATTGTTAAGCTCATATGAAGAAGCATCTCACTTTAACAGTGTGAGCTTGTGATACACAGTTAAGAATACAAGAATTCTATGTATTCTCATACCAATATTGCTAAACTGCTTGAATTCAATTAGTGTCATCCTCGTCAGAGCTGCTGGCCAACTGTCTCGCTTGTTCAGCGTAGTCGAAGGCAGAAAACCTGACGGGCAGCTCGCTCCACTTGGAGCATTTGGCAATCTTCTTTCCGTTGAGCGTCACCACGAAGTTTTGCACATGGAGGCAGGGGCACTCTATGCCACGGTACACCATCATCACACCCCATCCCTGCAGAGGAGGACAATGGTTAAAATGATAAAGGGATGATGGGATAGTATATACATGTATGTCTGTCTAGTGACAACACAAACCAATGCTTATATTCATGCCATTTGGTGGCAACAGCTGTAACATAATTCAGGAGGAAAAAAGCCCCCAGAAAAAAATGTCATGAGATAGTCATGGTCTTTGTGGTAGTTGTAGTATCCAATGATACATGTGACTAATGTTCTCTCACATTTTAAACAGCTTATTCTAGTGTAATTGACAGATCTTAGCTGATGTCCTTCTTTTCTTTTATTCCATTATAAAAGTCAGGAGTTAAATATTGCAGATATTGCAGAAAATGTTGACTTCAAATATTTTGTAGTAATAATAATTTGCTGTTGTGTTGTCTTGCTGTATTTTACCATTGTGAATTGCACTTCAGGGCCACCGTACTGAGTGCTGGTCTGCTGTAGTAGTTTACCAAGCTCTCACCACGTACACAAACAAGGGTTATTTAGAAAAATATTAACTATTCCTTCAAAAACGTAACTACAAACTACAAAGTCGAAACAATACCAACAACTGAAATCCTAAAACACATTCACCTGCCCACAAATCTTGCATGCTATTAAGCCTTTGGTTTCCAAATCCAGAGGTCGCTCGTGAAGAGGGGGGTCTTCTCTCGCAATGTACAGTTCCCTGTAAAGAATATCATTATTGAGACTTTTTAAAGCACTTAAAGTTTCAGTATAACATAAATGGAAACTTTAAATTGTAAATTGTACCTAAACTGCTCTGTAACATTGACTCTGTGCATGTTTTCGATGATATTGATGTCGTCACCGTTGCAGACGTGTTGGCTGCAGTGTCGGCAGTTAAATTTCACTTTAGATGGACACTCGCTCTTCATGTCTTTCTGCTTCTTCTTTACCAATCTCACCTTCTTCTCCATTATAGCTTGAAACTGAAAATCTATGATCTGAAAAAATAGGGGAAAAAATGTCACTGAGAACAATCTTAAAGCCAAAAAAGCCAAAACAAAGACGACTTGTTGACACAGTTATATGCTTCTGCCAACCAGTGTTTCAGTCTACACACTTTTTATTTCCAGGCCTATTTGAAGTCGCAGTGGCCTTTAACAACGGAAATCGAATTCATTTGTCAGTATCCAAGTGACAACTCATCAAAATTTGAAGGCAAACTTTGGTTAAGAGTCCAACACATTTTTTGTGAAGCCACCGTTACCTTTGTTCACCCAAATGTTACTTGGTCATTCTTTTTGTCCAATTGAATGTTTAAGAACAGGTGTAATTGAATTCCCAATGGGTGTCCCTGAAAACACAAGAACATGAGCTCACCACAACATTGACCTTTGACCACAATAATGTAATCAGTTCCTCTTTGAGTTCAACGGAACATTTGTACCTAATTTGAAGAAGTTCCCTCAAGGTCTTCCAGATATGTTGCGTTCACAAGACCAAAGTCATGTTTATTTTGTGAGGTCACAGTGACGTGGACCTTTAACCACCAAAATCTGATCAGTTCATTTTAGAGATCATATTCACAAGAATGGGGCCGACTGAAAACCCCAAAACATTACGCCTCTGGCAACATACTTGTTTTTCATAGTCTGCTTGATTTAAGGATCTGATGTTCTTAATGGCTTTGTTCATCATTTTCTTGCGGTACTCATTGACCCACTCCTTCTCAGCGACCCCAGAGTTCTTGACGTCGACCAGAGTGTAACTGCTGTCCTCAGCTCTTCCTCTACCTTCAGCCTGCAAAGAGTAATGACAGTACAGACATTACGGTCGACACTGTAAGTACCTGAATTAACAGCAATAAAGGCAATTATCTCTAATAAACACAACAGGCTCTCACTCATTGCCATCACTGACCTGAATCATAGAGATCTCATTGGTCACAAGCCCGTATCGAATGACAAAATTGCACGCCGGTATGTCCAAACCTTCCTCTGCCACTGTTGTGGCAATCAGCAGGTTGACATCACCATTGTGGAAGTTTTTCAAAACGTCCTTTTGTTCTGCCTGATTGACACAAATGTGGTAGGAAGTGTAAATTGGATTTGAAGTGCACATGATGCTGGAAGTAAAACAGTGTGTGCAGTGTGTACTAACAGGGGTCATTGGTTTAACAACACTCTGGTCTCCTCCTCCAATGACATATGAGGCTTTCACTCCTATGTCAGCAAACTTTGAGTTTTCCTGAATCCAGTGGCTTAGAGCGATGGCACTGCGGCGTGTTTTGGTGAAAATGATCCCCCTGGCCTCCTCCCTGCTGCTGAACTCATGCAGGATTTTACATCTTAACTTTGACAGGCTGTCATTTTCATACTGTGGATTCCCTGCAAGACTCTGCAGCTCTTCCTTGTTCTCTGCAGGACACAGATTTTAAAGAAGTCAAGTCTTCATGTTATTTTACAGGTTAAAGACATAGCTCGTCATTTTGGGAAATGTGTTGGCTTTCTGTGTGGGCGTTAGATAAGAAGATTCCTAGCATTCTTTTGTCTGTTGGGTAAATATATTGCTACAGCAAGCAGGTGGGTAGCTTAGTTTAGCAATCAGACTGGTGAGTAGCACAGTTAAAATGAACTTCATATATTTGTTGCTCATTTATTTGTCGGAAATCTCTAGGCACCTCACGATTGACGATTTCATTTGATTCAGATTCAAAGGACTTAGATTATAAATCAATTATCGATGCATCAAATAATTTTTATCACTTTGTGACTACTAGAGGTGTGCATCCTTTCTAGCCTCATAATTTGTGACTTAAAAAGAATTTGAAACTGCTACTGTTATTACAAGTGTGCTGTAATTTACAAATTAAGGTTTTCAATTCAAAAATCTGACTACAGCATTCAGTCTATAACAGTGGTCCGTGCTCTCCACAGTGATTTGACAGTCACTCAGTTCAGACTTGTGTCCTGCATCTTCCTTCCTACTTTTCAATGTTCTTGTCAATATACCAAGTCTGTGTGGCAGAAGCTTACAAACTGTACCTTTGAACACATTGAAGAGGAATCTCTCAGTGTCTGTGATCTGTATTTTATGCTCCTCATCTGGGTTCATTTTTTTATTTTTCTCCTTCTCGTAGTATTCATTTAGGAAACCGAAGGCGTCGTGCATGCGGATGATGTTGCTAAGATTCAGGCCCTCGCTGTACTGTCGCAGGTATTCTGCACAAACCCGTACTTTGTGATCTTCCTTTGCTGCAGCTAAAAAGAAATGATAGAAACAGGTGTTAGATCCCTAAAAGCCAGGAAGTATGTTAACATGCTAGTGACAAAAGGTTAGTTTTTCGAAGATGAGAATCCTAATGCGTGCGATAAGCTGTACGCACCTTCTCGCTCCGTTTCAACAATCCATTGTTCATAACGCTGAGAACCAAGGTCACAGTTGGTGCTAAGCTTTGCATGAGCATGAATGGCATTCATGATTTTCTTAATAACATCACCGAAGGGATCCTGAAAAAAATATCCAAGACCACAAGACTTTTACTGACAGTCCGTAGAGAAACATATTAAAAAGGCAACTCTCCAAATGTACCTCTATTCTGTCTTCAACAGCTAGAGTTGTTTTATTGGGTTGCTTTTTGTAGTCACCAAGGCTGCTCGTCATGATACTGGAAGCGTCCAAGTTTGCACAAATCTATGACATAAACACAGATTTATAGTGGTGAATGAATCAAATTACACTGGTCTGTTTCAACTAAACCTCTGCATGTGTAACACTGGGTTAAAAACCGAAAGGCTGTTTTCAATTTTCTTTTCTATTGTGGCAGTAGGAAAGTTTATGGCTGCCCCATGTGTTTGAGCAGGGTGGAACATTGGAAGGAGCTTGGCTGGATAAACAGAATCCTTGATGAATAAGGCGGAGAAAGTGGGGCAGGGTTTAGATGAAAAACTGAGACCACAAAAAGAAAAGAAACTCGCACTGTTGATAGTAGTGGACAAAATCTGTGAAACAAATACTACTTCAGACTTTAAGCAATACATTGTTCAACACAGTACTGTAAGTCTATATAAGGACTAAACATAATTTTGTTGTTTGTACACGTAAAATACATTTTTGATGGTTTCTGTTATTTCAAGTATATTATATATTTCTTATCACACTGATGTTTGTTCAAGTTTGGTTTCAATTTGTTATTTGACGCTATAAAAACTCTTCTTCTCTCTTCATCTTTATATACAGCCTGAAATTGTCACATCTGCATTAAGAGTGTATTTATATTCAAAGTTTTAATGTGAATATATTGAGTTTTTGTACAGACTGTATCAGAGTGATTTTTGAGGCTAAACCTGGTATAACATTTGATGATATTCACTAATATTCTATCTGCATAGACTAATGTGCTGACATGACTGGAAAAGAGAACTGAGAATTGCATTTACTCGCAGAATGTGCTCCACTGCTTTCTTCATATTCTTGGCTCCCCCGACCCCGGGTGAAGCAGTCAGGCCAAGTATCTGAGGAAGGGGCATGGGCTCCCTCTGCTCCTTCTTCCACTTTATGTTCTTGTGCTTCTGCTTCAGGTAGCGCATCATTATGTGGTTGTAGACTTCTCCTTTCTGAGTGTGGTGACACTCATCTATGATGATCAGTGTCAGATCTACACAAGCAGAAGACAACAAAAATGATAAATTAATGTATTGCATAAGATGCATTGTCTTTTTTTACAATGTCCTTGTTAGGGACAAAGACGCAGTTTATTACAGGATCATGACAAAAGACTTGTTTAGTAAGATTACTGTTGCTTTTAAAACAAGAACTTATACATTTCTGTTTTTGTCACAGTAACAAAAATGTCCTGAGATAAAATTACTCACATCTTTAGAAAAACAAAAATTTTCTCACCCAAACACGTCTACTTTATTGTTATTCATTTAAGTTCCTTAAATAAACAAGGATGATTGTCCCTCCCAGATTATAGCATCTCTCTGTAAAATGTAAAGATCCTCCCACATAAGACAGGATTTTCCAGGACCTTTTGACGCAGCACTTCAAGCCACACAATAACACTTGCTGGAAAACTGTCCGCCCCCAAAAATAACTTGAGCTACTGTGTCTTTCACAAAAAAAGGGCACAGCAGCTTGTATAAGTGACCCACGATCATTCACATTTACATGTTCACTCAGAGTGATACAAATTTGTCCCCTGAGAGACAGAGTGGGGAGAGTGGCAGCTTGATGTGCTGTGGGTGATAGAAGCTCTCATGTGAATTTGATCAGCCACACACTGATGGCTTGAACAGACGTGTGGCCTGGAAACCAGGAGCTAGGAAGAAAAAAAAAAGGACACGCTTTCAGGCGTTTCAGCAAACAGCATATGTTCCACTGAGGTGGCTATTCCACCTTGGAGTGGAGAGTGCCAACAGGAGTGAAGAGCAGAGCCGGAATACTTTGACAAGAGGCTGTCAGGTATCATCAGGGGAGATGCAGCCGAGATGAGTTTTTTTGCTCCAAAACCTGTCAGTGTCTGTGGTTTCAGCCTGGACAGACTTTAGCTGAAGGTTTTAAGCGGCCTTGCTTATTAATGTGTTTTATGAGATCGATTTGACTGAATCTAAAGAAAACAACCCAGCGATGGATGAAATAAAAATGTCTTTCACATGCTCATACCGCTTAACTTCACGCCCTCATCCTCTTCTTTGTTGGATCTCTCCAAGTGGTTTTCCAGAATCTGGGCCGTGCAAATGATGACGTCATTTTTCTTCAGGATCTCTGTGAAAGAGATTTTGAGCTGGCAGTCTCCACTGACTCTCTCCACTTTATATTTAGGCTTCAGAAAAGGCAGGAACTCTGCGGAATAATGTTGTTCAACGAGGGGAACCTGTCGGAAACCAGAGCAAATTAATTTTTCATAATAAGGGTGCTGCTAAATTAAAAGACAATGAAGAAATTCACTACACATGAAAAATGAAGTTTCTATGGCTACAAATGATTTTAAGAGTGTCTTTTTCTCTCCCACAGTAAGTGCAGGGTTAATGAATTTGTTTACAGCTGTCTGGTGGTTACAAACATATGTGCTGAACCTTTTGAAAACTTTGACGGTGGTGGGGTTTCAATTTAATTGTGCGATGATTCATAAGTTTCCATTGTTCATTGTTTCTCAAGAAGTAGACACAACTATAGCCTAAGTTATTTCTCTGTTATTTCTTGTACTGAAGCATGAATCACTAGGAGGAGTTTCAGTCACATACCATCAGCATTTTGCAACTAAATAATTTCACAGCAAGAAAAACATTCGGCCAAAATGTTGTGAGAAGTGATATTTTCCTACTGCAGAGGAGATCGAATGTGCCAAATAGTAACAAAGTGGAGGGGAAATCTAAACCTTGTGGGTTGTAACTTGTGGCGCGCTGACCCACATGTGCGAAATGACTGAAAGATAAAATGTTTTCTTTGGATATGAAGGGGACAGAAGTAGGTTACCATAACAGTACAAAGCAATAAGTCAGGTACACCAGACTTAGTACCTTGTTCACTAGCATGACCACTTTCCCCGGCTGCCCCTCGGCCCTCCTGCGGTCCAGATGTTCTTTGGTAATATAAACTGCAACTCTGGTTTTACCGCTTCCTGTTGGGAGGCATATAATGATGTTTTTCGCCTCCAGGGCAGGTCTTGCAACTTCCATCTGATAATCTCGCAGACAAATATCAGTAGTTTCTGGGCCTCTGGCCGCTGCTTCTGGGAGAGTCCCATCTGTGATGCAGAGCAGAGGTTTAGACGAGACACAACTTCTGTCCGTGTCAGCAAACCACAATTACAGGCACTGCCAGCAAGAAAATGCTGTGCCTGTCACTGTTGGTGGTTTTGGTTTTGTACTGGAATGTTTTCTTACTGCTGCTATTAAAAAGTCAAAATCTCCTTGAGAGGAACACCTATAAACAATGTGTTATAGAGTTCAGACGTGAACACTGTGAGGCACCATTGGGACGACTTTTAAATGTTCAAATACTTCTTGTGTCCTTACAAATCTAAAACTAGAATTCACATTCAAACTGTGATGTGAGACGAGTTAACAGCCTCAGATTTTTCAGAATACTCTGGGTCTACTATCCTTGCACAAACTCACATCTGTAATTATTTATTGATAATTCACATTTGGGGAAATTGCCAGTGGTGTATGACTTCATGGGATTTTTGGTGACGTTTTTATTGACAGCAGACTTTATCCACTTCAGTCTGCCTTTAAGTCGCTGGTGAGCTGTGACTCACTTGCTGTCCAGGCTGTGGATACAATATGACTAATGAACCCTTTCCCATCAGCTCCTCGCTCTACATCTCCACCCCTCGTTATGAGTTCAAACCCCCACATCAGCAGTTTCTTTTTTCCTCAGAACAGACAGCTTTTAATTTTCCCTCTCAGAATTGGTAGGCCGGAGGTTAAAGTTGCTGTTTCAAGCAACAACATAAACCAAACAGACGTCTGCGCCGATGGAAAGATAGAGCTTTAACAACAATAGGAAGTAAACAGTGGCCTGAGCAGTTCCCCTCAGTTTTTACCAGCAGTTCCCAGACACTGCACTTATTAGAGAAGGGAAGCCAACAATCAGCTGTGTTTGATAGAAGAAGAGAAAGCCACAGGCCTGTTTGTTGATGTGATTTTGTTCAGTGAAACTCAGAGGGGCACACAAATAATTCTGCACTTGCAGCTCTCCTCACAGACGAGTGGAAGAATCTCACATGTAATCTGTGCTGTTTAAAGTGGCCAGCAACAGTACGGGATATGGTGTAACTCAAATGCTTGGGACAATCTGTACTGTGACAACACCTGAATACAATAAAATTCACGTTATCTGTTCATTTCTGCTGTCTCGTCAGTCCACATAATAATAATCGTACAATAAAAAGGTGACACTGATCCAGAAACTACTAAAATATCAAACAATGTTAGCGTGGTATAACCCTGGAGGTGTAGAGCAGGGCCCCTGACTTCACAGCAACTTGAATAAAAAGTTTTTCTTTCCATTTTTTCACAATATGGAGTCAGCATGTGGTTTTAATTTGAAGCGCTGTCCTCTCTGACCTCTATGCGGTTGATCATGGTACACACATGGAACATATTCTTTGGTGTCAAGAAGGCAACGCTTTTACATTCCAACTACACACAGCCCGTAGGATACTACAGATCCATTTATTCTGGAGATGTGTTTGGTTTTTGTGTGCGACTGACCCGGGGAAGAACAACAGCAACCTGTTCAGGTTATTGACATACTTCAAATACAATATAACTCAGAGAGAGCAAAGGTTGCAACACCTGGTTGTGAGGGCTCCAGGCTTTTTGGCAGTGGTTCGTACTCAGAGCTCGCTCCTGCGTACAGGTCTGAAAAAGATAACACCAAAAATATAAAAATCACAGGCGAGAAAGGCAGGAGATACATCTAATTGGTTTTGAGAAACACTATCCATCTCTAACGTTTCTGCTGCGTCTCGAATAACAGTGATTAACAATAGAAGGGAATTTCCTGAAAGCATTATATTTACTTCCAATAGTTTTATGTGCAGTATTATTGCAGCAATATCATGCATAATATTATATTCATTATCATCTGTAATTTATAACACCCAATTATGGAAACTTTCTTTACTACATCTACTGATGACATAACTTTGATGAGCATCTACACATGGGACAGACATGACTCAGTGTAATGGACTGTCCACTGTCAGCTGATATAACATCTTTATATATATATTTTCATTGATCATTGAGGAGAGGTTCTCTGCCAAACCTATAATAATAAAAACCATAATAGCTTGAATTTATACAGCACCTTTCAAGAAACCCAAGGATGCTTTATATACTGTATGTCCTATGGGACAAAAGAGAAATAAACAGCACACCTATGGCTTCATCCTGAGGATCCTCGGTTACTGCGAAAACCATAAGATCTGCACTGTCACAGCCTCCATCTGCTGCTGCTGGACTCTTCGACACAGCTTCACTTCCTGTGGTTTCATCTTTCAGGGAAGAACAGTTCTCACCTGAGCCAAATGATAAATACATTTAAAAAACGTCATTCGACTTCATTGCTTTGAGACGTATTATCATTATTTCTAATTGCTTATGACTTTAATTGTCTTAAAAGGTCCAGTGTGTAATATTTGGGTTAAGGGATCTATTGACAGAAATTTTAAATAAAATAATCTGTGATGTGTTTCACTAGTGTGTTTAATATAACGTATGAATTGTTGTTTTTTTTTACCCTAGAATGGGCCATTTATATGTTTTTTACAGTCTCCCAAACTGGACAAACTAACCACCTTTGAGTTTTAAGCTATTAAAACAGCTGTATTCAGTATTCAGCAACTTCACCACTAGATGTCACTAAATTCTACACACTGAACCTTTAAAATTCATGAGCTCTAATTAAAGCTGTTATGAGAAAGCTGGCTGCACTTGTAAAGAACCTGTTTAGCAGCTCACTCAGTAACATTCCTTAACATGGGTGTGTGCTCCACTGAGGTTTGCCACCTTCTTTGTCGAGGTCAGGTGACCCTCCGGTCAGCTCATACAGGGACTGGTGCTCAGTCTCACGCAAGATTTGGAGAAAGTTTGAGAACCACCCCGGTCGACCTCTCACGATGCTTCTCAAAAGTTCACGGGCTCCGCTCCTGGGTCCTCTGCTTGTTGTTTCAGCTTTAATCTACAACATGATGGACACAATAAATAAAATGGATTACACCGGTTATTATGCAATCACCAAGGAACTGTTTCAGCTTTAATCTGCAGCACGATGAACACAAGCAAATGGATTAGACTGGTTGTTATGCAATCATCATAGAAGTGTGGTGCCCTGCAAAACAGAGCAGGGCATTAGTCTGCCATCTTGTGGTCAGAGGTGAATTAGAGCAAGTGCAGGAACAGAAGTGTAAATAGTGGAGTGGCATGATGTGGCCCTTTGAGACTAACTCAAATAATACAATTTAACTTTTAAATGACTAGTAGGTGCATAGAATGAATCAAAAATACAATCATTGGTGGTGTGACATCTGACTTTCACTCCACTTTACTCACAATCTCGGAGTCCTCTGCGGTGATCAGGCCCCTGGAGAGACAGTGCAAACACACCTCCTCAGTCTTCATCCCCACAAGCCCGGGGGACAGTATTTGTATGAGCCGGACACACTGATCGTTCTCTGCCTCCACATCAGGTTTGGGGAGTTTTTCCTGCATGATGTCCGCAGCATAGTCGCAGCCTGAGCTCGCCAGCGCATCCACAAACGCCCGGAACCACCCGAGGCTGTGTGGCCTCCTGGTGACCGCGTCGATGAGCAGATCGGCGGCCGCTCTGTCCCCCTCTGCCCTGGCTCTCTGTCGGATGTGCTCCTTCTGCTCTGGTCCGATGAAGTGGACATGATCCAGGAGCCGCTCCACCACCACCAGCTCCTTCAGCCTCGGCCTGATGTCTCCAATGAAACTCTCCCAGGCTTCATCTTCGGCAGAGGCCATGGTTACTGTGCCTGCACCGTCACTGACAATATCAGCTGGTCACAATAATGCATGGTTTGCTATGAACGGAAATAAAAACTCTTTCAGTTTCGTTTCACCAAAACAGACCAAGAATTAATGTGGCCACTAGGTGGAGGTATTGTACCGGAGTCGTGAGGTTTATGCACACATTAAGATTATATGAAGCATTTCAACTGTTTATTGTGCAATAACATGATGTATAAAGGTATGTATTACTTCTACATATAACTATTATAGATACATTTCTTTACACATATAATCATTAAAATGTAATAATTCTAGTAATTTATAATTATATGTATATTTCTAAAATAAGATTTCTAAAATAACTTTTATACATTATTTTGACTTTACTTTCATTTTTATTTGGTATTTGTGTTGGTATTAATATATTAACAAATATACATTTAAATATCAACAAGTAAATAACATATTTATATCGTTTTTTAAACACTTTTTTACTTTGACCCTATGTTAATGGTCCAGTGTGTACAAGGTGCAAGGGATCTATTGGCAGAAATTGAACATAAAATAATCCCAGTGGTCCAAACTGGACAAACCTTATGTGAAACTTTAACTTTAACATGAAAAATAAAACTTGAAGGTTGCATTATTGACCTATTGTCAGGACACAGTTGTTAAACAATGCATCCCATTTCTGTACCACCAATCAGTAGCAAGACAATATTGTGATTGTGATTTATTTCTTTTAGGAAGAATCTAAAAGGGTTTACACATCAACTGAGCACTCACACCAGTGTTTTCAGTTATGGTTCACTTTTCTCACTCCCATGTTGCACCTGTGAAGGACAAAGACTTTTCTTGTTAAAACAGATCCATTAATTAAGGTGACCTTGTGTAATTCAGAGTAAATCTCTGTTCAACCCGTGGAGAGGTCTAATCAGCCAGAGTAATTTGAAGCACCAGTTTTACAGCAGGAGAAATATCACACTCAGAGGGATATTATACCTCCTACTTCACCATATTTAATTACAGCTGTAGTTATGATTTTGGTGAACACATAATTATAAGCCAAATTAAAAAGTAATGAAAAATGATGTATTGCTATGGCCACTGAGCAATATAAAGCTCAAACATGGCTCCAATACAACTTTACAATGCTACTTACAGATTAACATATTAATAATTTAGGAATATGAAGGAGGGACTTTCCTAAAACAGCTATCATGAATCTCTGGTGAATTCATATTGTCCCTCTTACATACTGTAGAATTAAACTCTGTATTTCTAGGTGGACTGAAAAAAAATCAATCACAAAACTGTGAGCATGTTTTAATTTATTGCTCCCACAGCTTCAAAACAAACATAAGTACAACTGCTTTGCTAAAGAGTTTCTCATATATTTTACTCAGTTAAAAAAAATACATTTTTTTTTACATCTGGCAATATGATGTATTATTTCCTAACAACTGTCTAACAACATGTTATTTGTAATGTACATTGCCAACAAAAACAGTAAAGGGAAATAATATTACTTGTTGTTGTATGGTTAGTTACTCTACACATGAAGATGCTGACTTAGCATTTGAATCGGTTGTATAGGCACGAGACCCGCCTCTGGGGCCTGTTTATGCGCAAGTCCTAACTTCCCATGTGTTCCCCCCTCCCACCCCAACATGCCCTCTAAGTGCATCCTAAAAGAGTGCGCTGACATCATTTTATATTTTAATGTGCTACTTTGGGCTCATAAGCAGTGCAAAAAAACATAAATATATAGATAAAAAACACATGCACTGCCTTGTAGAAACGCCTACATCATACATGTTTGTCAGAGGCCTATAGCTCTGGGGTAACAGCAGAAAATCTGCATGTTATTACGTCTGCCCGGACAAGCATGTATGGTGTGTTCCATTGGCTTAATGTAATACAGTGGGTGCACATCAGTGACCGCAGAAATAATGCACATTGTCGAGAAGAAAACTACAGTATACTTGATACTGAACTGTATATTGCAGTGCAATTGACCGTAAACCCTGAGTCACACTTCAGAGAAGACAGGCATACAGCTGATAAGAAAACATGTTCTCACACCTTTGTAATAATGCTGTATTACACTAATAGCTGCAGGAAGTAGCTTGTATGGTATGTTAATATGCAGGCTCAGGCCCTCTAAGAGACAGAGTCTGTATATGTGGCGCGTACAGGCTTTAGACTCAAATCGGCTCTGACAGTACTGGATTTTGCCATAACTTCATGTTTTTGGTCTCTTCCTGTACCCAGTGCACCCAGCACCAACAGGTGCATATTCTGGCTCTGCAGCTGACACCAGGAGGAAATCCACATGATATGATGGACTAATGCCTGTATCCTTGAGTGTGCTAGATCATGGGACCAGCCTAGTGTGAGGTAGGTCAGTCAGTGCCTTTAGCAAGAAAAGATGGAGAGAGGAAAATATATCTGTGATGGTCAAGGGCTTTGATGGACTTATGCATTTGAGCCTTGCAACTAAGACCAGATTCCATGACAACGCGGTCATAAGACATTCATCCTGGTCGCACACCGCAGCAGTGGTGGAGGAAGCACTTAGACATTTCTACTCGAATAAAGGTACAAATAAATATAGATATAGTAATAAAGTAAAAGTGCCACATTAACTGTTTTTCTTGAGTAAAAGTAAGTAAGTACTTGCTTTTAAATGTCCTTTTGGCATGTACTTGCCAAATGTAGTCTATTTCTTACCACATCATTATGAGTGAGTCTCGCATGTGGTCTCTTTTGAATCAATTTTCAGATGCTCTGGTCAAAGTTCTGATGTTAAAAAAAACATTCTGAACACTATAGTAACACTATGCTTTGTAAAAATGTAGTGGAGTAGAAAGTACAGATATTTGTTGTGGAGTAAAAGTGAAAAGTACCTGATGATAAATCTACTTAGGTAAAGTGCAGATACATAAAGAAAGTAGTGTACAGCAACTGAGTAAATGTACTTTGTTACAGCCCCAGGTGTGGGCAGTTGGATTCTGGGATTTGTGGCGCAGAAACAGGAAGGACTTTCAAGCCCAACAGAGCCCATCGGAGCATAAAGCCTGTTTAGCTAGTTTGGTGCTATAGCGCATTATCACAACCAGGTGGAGCCCTTCAACCAGCAACACTGTAGAATTTATTCAGAAGCAGTAAACTTAGTTACCAAGGAATTTCTATCCTTATATGGGGGTTGAGGAGGTTGAAGAGGTCCGCTCTGATTAGTTGGGCATCTACATTTTCAGTGAGAAACATGAGTGAACGATGACACTAACAGATTCAATCAAAGGACTCCTATGTCGATATAACTACTTTTACAATATGTAACCATTGTCATCACACTGCTGACTGCAGAAAACACATTGTCATTACACCGTTAACTGCAGAGAACAGTGTTTTAACCACATGCATCTTGAAAACAACTTCTTATTTCTATTAGGCATTGCAAATAAACAATACAGATGTCAGTGCCAGCATGCTGATAAAAAAAGTTATGCTACTTAGTAATTACAGCATTACAACCCAGATATTAGAACACTGTGCTGCTGAGAGGTTTATTGTCCTGGTAACTCTGGGTCTGAGACATGTCTATTATGTCCAGCCGTGTTGAGGTTGGAGTCAGGGAGAGATGGGGAGGAAGAGGAGGACGTTTCAGTTTGAAGAAGGATCAGTGCAGACTGTTGATGTCCTGTGATCTGTTGGTTCTGCTGCTGCTGTTGTTGTTGTGGCTCTGTTTGTCTTTGTACAAGCAGTGCTGTAAGGCTGTCCTCCATGGGTGCATTCGTGTTGGCCAAGCTCGACAGAGAGTCTTTGGATTCCTGAATGACGCTCTCCAGTTGGTGGTTGGGGCCCTTAACAGAAGAGTGGCAGAGTACACTTTACGGCATAGTAAATCGACTTGTTATTTATTCAATATTTGTATGGATATATAATTTTGGTAAACTTTCTTTGTTAAATAATTGAATGTCTTGCAGTTGTATGCCTTCACCAACAAGTGCAGTTTTAGTCTTCATACATTCTTTTCAAGACTAATATAAGGTCACCATGACCTTTGACCTTTACCTCCTGAAATCTAAATCAATCTTAGTCCAGTTCAAAACTTGTAGAAATTCCCTGAAGGCAACCTTGAGAGATTTTCGTGTACAGAGGCCAAAAACACCATCAAAGACCTTTGACCCTAGAGCATTCAAATCTAAAAAGTTAATTAGGGAGTCTAATTGAACATCAGTGCCCAATTTGAAAAGGATTTCATCAAGCTGTTCTTAAGATAATGCACTCACAAGACTAAAAAAGGTTTGTGAGGTCGCAGTGACCACAACCTTTGACCTCCAAATTCAAATCCGGTCATTGGTAAATCCAAAGGAATCTTGCTCTGTTTATGTAAACAGAACTACTGCTCGTTTAGAAATTAAGATGGTGTCAGATAAGTTGAAAATCATAAAACTTATGCCTCAGATTCTTTCCTGTGATTAATCCAACTTTATTGCAAGAACTGTGCCAGACAAACCATCACGACGCTCATCAGTCACAGTGTAAAGTAGGTATGAGCAGAGCTACATTAAACAGCAGGAGCTTATAAGGTTATAGAGACTGCCTGATTTTCTCCCTGAACATCACTAATGACTTGGAGCGATGTGATTGAGGATTGTTACACCAGCTGATGCTCGACTTCAGCGTCGAAGAAAAAACCCCACAATGCCTCATGTGTATGTGTAGAAATAACCTGACTCATTAAATAAAATAAAATGATAACATCCTTACTTGAGTTGCTGTATGGCTGAAAAAATGGTTTGCGGTGAGAGCAACTGGCTGAACCTTTACAGCAGGTCTGTGATAGTCTGGGCTGGCAGTCACAGTGCTGTAGGCTGGAGGTCCCAGAGTCGGCTGTCTCTGCAGCAGCTGCAGGATGGTCTGAATGTCTGACATCAGCTGAGACTCCAGCCTCCAAAAGAAGAGAGCGAGACACAGAGAGAAAATTAATCCCAGAGAAAAGAAGGTGAGTTTACAAGACTGCTCATTTAAGGGCTCAGCTGTACTTGCGCTGAGCACTAGATGGCGCTTCTGCTCCTTAACAGTGGACAAATGAGGCGAGGGTTAAAGGCATGGAGACACTTTTTGCCAGAGTAGTAGACAAAAGACGCTGCTGCTGCTAGGAGTGATAATGAGCTTTGTGTGGCAGGTGTGAATTCAGCATTTACCGTGGAAATGCCTGTATCGCACATGTTTGGTAAACCTTATTATGATTCGGTTTCGTCCAAGCTCTATATTTAGGACATCAGGCAACACCGGATAATGCTGAACAACCTTTTAATAACCAGCATCCCCTTTAACAGATATGGATAATGTCAAATTGGCTATGTTCACACAGTTCCCACGTATAGAGGCAGCATTTGTTTTCTAGGTAATGCCTGATTCACAAAGTAAATATTCCATTGCAGGTTTGACAGACAGATTTTTGTTTTCTTGGTTATTTATATGGATTTGTTGAGGAAACTCCTACACCAACATTTTTTCTCCTGTCATTTCCTTTCTGACTTGTCAAAGCCAGAAAAAACACAAAATGACAGAGTTGTGTTGCTCATCCTGCAGCCGGCTAGCATTAGAGGGGAAAAAAACAAGGTCGGTAGAGTGCAGTGAATAAAATGTCTTATTTGTGCTAAATAATAATGAGCCAGCCCTGAGTTTCAGGCACCGTGATGCTGTCTGTCTCTGTCTGTAATAATTCCAGCTAAAAATACCACCTGCTGTTCATTTGTGTGTCTATTTCAGGTTCCATGCTGACTGGAGGTGTGTCACTGGAACCGTGGTCAGACACCACAAAACATATAATGAGAGTCAGTCTCAATGATCAGTTTTGGATGGATGGATGATGGATGGATGGATGTTCTGATCATTACACTTTAAAATTGTACAAACGAACCTTTTGTCCTGATTTATTCTCATGTTTGATATGTTCTGGTTTCACACTGGTACATCCTGCTTCCAGCAGATCCAGCCTCCAACAACAGCTCCTGCCAGCTTCCTCCTCCACCCACTCATGTGCATTATAGCAATAGAACTACACACGCTGCCAGTGATGGCTGTGGACACTTAACATACTATTTTTTGCAGTGTGGGAGGTGACAACTTAAAAAAATAAAGAAAGCAAAAATAAAGAAAATGTACTGGTACGATAATTAATAAGAATAATTATACATTTTCTTGTGTTACTTCAACATGCTCTGTCCTCCCAGCTTAAAATGTGCTTTTACAGAAGTCTGCACAGGCTGGTTTTTCAGTCCTGGACATGTCTGATGTCCGACCAAAGCTGTTTGATTTGAAATGCTTTGTGTGCATGGCTGAAATGTGTCCTGCTCTCACTATATGACAGTGTAAACAATGGAAAACAGGGAAAAGCAAAGGGAGCTGTGTCAAAGCAAATCAGGCCTTAGAGGTGCATGACACTGGGTTTTCTGGACTCAACTCTGCTGTCTTCCTTTTTCCCCACTGTAGTTGATAAAACACCAGAGACATGTACTTGTACATCCCCTCGTCTTTTAAACAACAAATGTTCCAAACCACAATCAGAGAATGACTTTGAGGAGGACATTTCCAACCACCAAGTTTTCTTTTTTTTTTTTTTAATGGAGGTTATGAAGATAAAGAAAGAACTCAGAATAATAAATTATGATAGGTATCATGACAGATCCCCTAAAGTTCAGACACACACACAAAAATTGATCGCCTCTGGTGGCTGGCTGCTGTATATTGGTCATAAATCTAGCTGTCTCCATGTTAGCAGGTGGGACATGGGCCAAACTAAGAGACAAAGTACATCAGACTTTTTTTTCTGAAGATGGTTTCAGTCATTCAGTGATTTATGCAGTTATAATTATACTGATGTATGTTCAAGTTTGGTTTTATTTAATTATACGGCTATTTGCACTATTGACAAAGCCTAAATACAGCAACTCGCAACTCCATGATCACTACCACACAGAATCTTGCTCTAGGTGACATCATCACTGCAAAGATAGCATAGCAGCACCTCAATCATTAATTTTTGCACAGTGGGAGGAAGTGGAGCAGTGTCATCCAACTTTATATACATTCTGTGTCAGAGGTTGTAGGTTATGGTGCTGTTGGTATTTTGAGTAATAGATACATTATGACCAACAGGTACGTCTTTGCGCTCACGTAATTCAATTAAATATTTTTATATTCCTAATCATCAAAATAAATGTCAAGTATAGGAGGTCAGGCAGTAAATGTTTCCACTGGGGTCTCGCCACAGCAGCCAGAGACAAACCATTTGGAATTTTAACATTTTATTTAGAGACCAGGTGCCAAAATAATATTCAAAACCAACATAAATCCAGCATTTGTGGCATGTAGCTTTACAACTCAGTAGTGTCTCTTGTGTGTCCATGTTCCTCTCTGGCAGTGCGGCTGCTGCCTTTTAAACCTGAGGATCAATCAGCTAACAGCTCTCACCTGCGCTGATTGATCCTGTGGTTCAGGTGGAGGTGCTCTCCCAGCCCCCTCACGACAAGTTCAAAACTGTGTGTCATTTTATTATTCCTGATGTATTTAAGCAGTTTGCTCGGTTTTATTCTGTTTATCCTTTAAGTATTTGATCAGGTCTCCTGGTGGGTCTGGTGAACTGTTACACTGTGTTCTAACAGCGACTGTATTGAGTGGGCAACAAAACCAAGATTCAGCAGTTTCAGACTGTGACATGGGTCGTCTGACTTAAATGATAAAACAGCAAAAACTGTGTGGAAGCCCATTACTGACTGAGGGCAGGTGCAGCAGAGAAGCCATAGTTTAGAGACAGTGAACCAGGTGAAGTTAAAATAAGGTTTCATCATGTGTTTCCTCTAAAACCACTAACATTTCCAAATGAATGTGAATCCACATCCATCTGGATATGCTAAGCTTTGCCACATCCATTTGCTTCTGTTGCTTTGGTGCATATGAGGAAACAACACATAGGCATATGCAACGTTTCTCATTATCATGAGATACTAAGTCATTATTGTGAGATAATAAGTCATTATAATGACTTACAGGATCTTTTTTTCATCACACTATTTCAGTCTTGGAGAAAAAAACATGTGAACTATGTATACTGGTTTATTAAGTCTCTATGACCTTCAGAAAAAAAGTTATTGAAGAATATCTTGAACTCCTATAAGTTTTCATCCCTAACCCTAACCCTAATCACAACCCTAACCCTAATTGCAACCCTAGTCCATATTCACCATAGGGTGAAATTCATGAAATGCTCAAGTCTCTGACTTTCAGAAAAAAAGTTATTCCTAAATATCTTGTACTTTTTTAAATTTTATTTAATTTCATTTCTGGAGGCCGTAGGTGGTACCAATGGATCGGGCATAGCCACATTAGTAATTGCAACCCTAGCCCATATTCACCATAGGGTGAATAACTCCGCGCTGCTTGCTCGAAACGTGCTGAAATTCGGTATGGTCGCGTGGCAGGCTACCCTTTATTAATCATGAAATGCTCAAGTCTCTATGACTTTCAGAAAAAAAGTTATTCAAAAATATCTTGTACTTTTTTATTTTATTTGGTGGTTTCACCATTTCTGAAGGCCGCAGAAGCTCGGGGATGGGCCCAATGGATCGGGCATAGCCACATTAGTAGAGATGGAACCAACTTCCAAGTCTCTATGACCTTCAGAAAAAAAGTTATTGAAGAATATCTTGA